TCTTCTCTCCTTTGAATAACGTTCTTCCTCTTTGGATTCTGAATCTTATTATATACTTACATGTAGTTTCCACACTGACGTGTCTATAGTCTGTCCCTTAAATGTTAATGTTTTCTCGATGGTACTCTTTAACCCTCTCATTTTCTCACCTGTTTTCGCTGAATGATCTTGATCTCATTTATTCTCATGGATACAATTACCATTTCTATGCTTAGGTCTAAGTTGAATTAAATATATTTCCGTTACTCCTGAATTTCTTATCTTGTTCATGACATACTGTCTATCTCACTTCCTAAGCAAGGAATCAAGAAGTCACCTTAGACCCTTCCTTTTCTCTCAATCACTTAGTCAGTCAGTCAGTCCTGTCATATCTAACTCCCAAATATTTGTGTCACTCCCTGAGATAAGGTTCTCATCTCTGAGCTGGACTGTTATCACTAATTGATCTCCCTCTTACAAAGGTTATCATGCTCCAATTTATCACACATCAGTCATTTTCCTTTATAAGAATCATTCTATTTAAAAAACCTGTTGGTTCCTCACTAAAGTGCAAACTTCTTAGCTTGGATTTAAAAGACCTTGCACTGCCCTGGCTGGCTCAGTGGATTGAGTGCCAGCCTGCAAACCAAAGGGTCGCCAGTTTGATTCCCAGTCAGGGCACATGCCTGGGTTGAGGCCAAGTCCCCAGTAGGGGGCACGAGAAAGGCAAACCACACATTGATGTTTCTCTCCCTCTCTTTCCCCTTCCCTTCTTTGCTCTCTAAAAGTAAATAAATAAAATCTTAAAAAAAGAAAAAATCTCCAATAAAATAAAATTAAAAAAAAGACTTTGCAGATATCTAGCCCCATGCTCTTTCTCCAGTCTCACTCCCATTCTTCCACCTTACAGTCCTATGTATCAAACACTCTTACCTCACTTTCCCCTGACCTTGCCACAAACCCATCAGAATGCTTTGTTCATGTTTTCCCCAGTCTGTAATTTCCTTTCTCTTTCTACACTAGCAAACGCTTAGCCTTCAAGACTCCATTCAAACATCACATCCTCTGTAAAGCTTTACCTACATCTCCAGGTAATTAGCTTCTGTATCTCCAGTGTTACCAAGTGTCCTTTTAAGGTATTTTTAGTATTTTACTTGTCACACTGTTTTATACTTATTAGCAGAATCTGTTTCCTACTAGACTAAGCATTTGAGGGCAAGGGCTATGTCTTATTCTTTTTTTTTTTTTTTTTTTTTATCCTCAGTACCTGCCATTATATCTGACCCATAGCAGACCCTCAATAAATTAATGAGTGAATGAATGAATGAATGAATGACTCCCAACACTAAGACAAATGTAAATGCATAGGGTGATAGGCTTTGTGAAGGGGTGGTCTATGTAAACGGCATAAACAAAACACCAGATTTCCATTTGAAAGGAACTGGATCATTACCCCCAAGAAGAGAAGCGTTTCAGTTCATCATCTGACAGTGGTCACTTATAAACCCCCATGGTTACCAGAAGCTGCTTCTGGGAAACAATAAGCAGAGAAGCCACAAGATCTTTGTCTCTGCTCCAAGTGGCAGTGAGTGATATACTAAATCGACCGATTCGGAATGACTTTGAGAAAATAAATTGTATATATATAAATTATATATAAATACAAATTACATACATTAATTATATATATTATCTATCTATCTATCTATCTATCTATCTATCTATCTCTCCCTCTCTCTCTCTCTCTCTCTCCATATCCTGAAGATGGAGATCCTAAAGATGGGGACAGCAAGTATCTTCCCGGCCAGGTCCATCAGCCTTTCAAGCAACATCCCGGAGCCCCATTGCGCAGCCCCTCCCTCACCTACCCCCAAAAGCGAGGCTTAATCCTGCTGCCCCGCCCCCTCTTTCTTCATACCCTCCAATATTATCTTTCCCGGAACCCCTTCAAAATTGTAACCTTCTAACCACCGGGACTTCGGGGCCATAGATCTCCTCAGCTTCGACCCCCCACCACCACCACTCTGTGACCCCTGACCCCCTCCTCCAGCCTGCTCTTACTGTCCAGATAATGTTCCAAATACATCCCCGCAGCCATCTTGAAGCAAAACAAAGCAACTTCCGATCCGCCCCGGAAGTGGCTGAAACGCGACAGACGCTGAAGCTATTATTCTTGGGTTAGGGCTTTTCTGCCCTTAAAATGAGAACTTCCGCCCTTAGTAAACTTTCTCCAGGACACATCCGCCGATGATGTTGACCCTTATCCTTTTGCGGAAGTGTCCACGACCGCCCATAGAGGCGCCTTGAAGCGGCTTCAGCCTGCTTCCGCCCTTACTGAGCCCCCATACGCGACCCACCGAGGCAGTCATGACGTCAGTGGAGGTCGCCATTTTGCATTCTCTATCAAACTTTTTTCCCTCCAAAACGGGAATGTGCGGTAATGAGGTAAAAATCCCCCACAAAACCTGTCTCTTGGCTTGTATTACATAAATATCTTTTTTCAGCAACTGGGGAGTCTTCCTTTTGCAGAATTTAAATCTGGCGTTTAGAGTTGATCCCCGCTGTATTAAGACTTTCTCTAAGGTAGCTAGTTTTTTTTTTTATTTTTTTTAAATAAATTTTATTTATTTTTTAGACAGAGAGGGAGAAAGAGGGAGAGAAACATCAACGTGTGGTTGCCTCTCGCGCTCCTCCCCGACCCCCGCCCTCCGGGGGCCTGGCCCGCATCCCAGGCATTTGTCCTGACTGGGAATCGAACCGGCGACCCTTGATTTGCAGCAAGGCCGTCCTTCAGTCCACGGAGCCAGACCAGCCAGGGCAGGTATCTAGTTTCTTAAAGAATCTGAGAGGCAAACAGTGTTGTGAGATTTAAACTACTGGCACTTCTGTTCACGCACACAAACACTAACTCCCCAGGATTATTTTTTAACATGGAAAGAGTAGACTGCTTATCATCTTTGCTTATACAGATAAACCTATAATCTTCACAATAAGTCTATAATTCTACACATCTTTGTCAGCATTCTTGTCCTTTTACATTCTAATATATTCTCACATAAAATGACAGTACTTCTGGCCTTCCCCTTGTTTTTATCTCCCTTCCTATTGGAGTTTCTATATAATGTAAACTAACACCATGATTCTGAAAGGACTGGGGCATCTAACTGGAGTTGTCACAACTCTGCCAATTAGATGCCAGCTATCACTCTCCTCAGCTACAATAACAACTATGCTTTTCAACAGGTTGGAAAGCAATCAAGTGCATTACAGACTTGTTTCACATAAGTGGAACAATGCAAAGCTCATAACCTAATAGTGGTGTAAGACAGTTTTCGGAGACCACTGTCACTCCTAACACACGTTCTTGATAATTATCAGTGGTACATGGCACAGATTGTCAGCCACATAATTTAAAACAAATGTGTGAAATTTAATGTGAAACCTCACTTTTACTGAGCAAGCGGTAAGACAGAGGAATATAACCTAAACTTCACTCTCAAGAGTCATGTCCCTGGGTAAATAATTTAAGCTCTGTGCTTATTTCCTATAAGTGAGAATAGTACCTACTTCAGAGTTGTTGCTGAGTGAGTTGACCTTATCATTTTAAAAAAAGTAGCCCTGACTGGTATGGCTCAGCGGGTTGAGCAATGTCCCACAAACCAAAAGGTGGCAGGTTCGATTCCGCATCAGGGCACATGCATAAGTTGCAGGCTAGGCCCCCAAAAACAGGCAGCCAATCTGTTTCTCTTGCACATCTGTTCCTCTCCCTAAAAATGTTTTAAAATCTTAAAAAAAAAAAAAAAAAAAAAAAGAATTCCGGTTTTAATACCTGTGATGAAGGTAAGGCTGTCAGGATTGTAGACTGATGAGAGCAGGGGAAAGTGCACCAAATATTCAGGAGGCTAACAAACATCACCGTATTTGGTCATGTGGTATTCATTAGTGTCATACCACAGGTGGAGATTATCTTGGATGCTCACAACTGGGCATTATTTCGTCAACTATCCACACTCTGCTGTGTAATGAGCACTGTTGGCCCAACAGTCCCCGACTATAGACATGTTATCAGATGTGGGAGTTTTGTCACAACTTTTTCAGTGCTTAAAAGTTTTTTTTAATTCTCAAAAAGGAATCTCGTAGGTGATCTAGCCCAACCCCTTCATTTAACAGCTGAAGATGCATTTTGGCCAACACTGTTCGATAGTAGAGCCAGGGCTGATGTCCACGTTTTCTGACCACGTTCTACTTTTCTGCACAACTGTCCTGCCATGTTATTCAATCCTGGTTATGGTTTTCATCATGAGGAACCTCAGTTTTAGGTGGCACAGTATAATTAAGATACAAGTATGCACACCCATGCCAACTGGGATTGGCACAGAGCACCCTGATGCTCAGGAGGCAGAGTGTAGGTCGTTTCAAGAGGCCTTGCTTGCAATTCTTTGATAAGGAGCTTACTGGTTTTAACATAACTGGAAACTTGATCTCACATATTTAGGCAATGCAGTCCCCATGGCAAGATTTGTATGTAGAAATCCTCATCAACCAAGATTTCACTTCAGAAATATCAAAGCTGTACCCTTCTATGGCTGGGGACACACACATAGTCTCTTCACACAGCATTCATTCTTCACATGAACAAACTCTAGTGTAAATCCTTAGTTCTTGCCCTGAACATCTTCCCAAATAGCTTATCCCATGCTCACTCACATCAGTAGCTCCACTGCCTCTGATCCTTTTACACGAATTTATTTCTATACAAGATTCTAAAAACACCCCTTGGTTTGTACATAAGTTTTTTTCTTCATTTTAAATTGCTTTATAACAACTGATTTCCTGATTTTTTTTTTCATTTTCTCTTTTCTCTAAAATCTGTTATGATTAAAAAAAAAAAAGACAAAAGAAAATAAAAATGTCATTGGCCAGAAGACAGGGTGGGGGAAAAAAGAAGACAAAAATAAACAAAACATCAAATATGAAAATTCTCAGAGATAATGCATTTATAAACACAGAAATGGTTACAACAAAGATGGCCGTGATGAGTGGGTATATATATATTTATATATATATATATATATTTATATATAAATCCGTATCCGGCAACTGACCGTGGCACCTAGGGAGCTAAGTCCAGTCCTTGTGTTTGCCCTGAACCCTCCCTTCTCTGCAACACCCCGTTGTTGTGGGATTTTATAAAGCACACAAAGCTCTCACACCTCCTTACATTTTGGGATGGGGAGACTGAGAGTATAGGATTTTGGTTAGCAGAGAAGGGGAGAGGCTCCAAGGAAAACCATAACCCACACTTCTAAGCCACCCTCAACCATTTTGGGGATTGCTGGCCCCTTGGGGACCACATCTCAGCCCATGCCCCTTTACAAATAAAGGGAGTCTGATTCCCCCATCCAGATCCTCTTCCTCCAGCATTAAGAAAGAACTGAAGTGAGACCATGAGGGGAAGAAAAAGACTCCCAGAGGTCAGGGCACGTGAGAAACCTGTTCTTTCACAGGCAAGATCAGAACAGGAGGCTGGTTGCATTTAGGGCTCCCTTCTCTCTGGTGTCTTGGAGGGCCAGCCTCTAGTCTTCTATCAGCCTGAACTTCAAGGATTATGAGGGTAAGGAGAGAGTAAGTGCCCACAATGGAAAAGTTTCTATGAGGTCATAGCAAATCCCTCCCTTGAGCACCAACTCCCAATTTTTAAAAGCTATGCTTAGGAGGGGAGGCTGCTGGATTACACTACCAGCTCAGTATTCCTTTGCCAATCAGAAGGGCTGATGTTCTTTTTGAAGAGGAGTTGAAAATAAAGATGGCATCCTGTGAAGGAAGTCCGTGCCTGAGGTCCAAGGAGATGGAGCCAAGGCCTGTCAAGGAAGAATAGGACTTTTCCCACCAAGAGGAGCTGGAGAAAGAAGGGACCAGAACTTCTTCCCCCTCTTCCAGTGGGTGGCAGCACAGGTCTCTACGAGCTGGCCAGGTGCTCCACCTGGATGGTGCTGGTGGTGACAGTGAGGCAGATGTCCTTATGATGTTCAGCCGTCTTATAGGGGGTCAGGTCAAAGGAACACTGGGGTGGAGGGTTGGGGTTGCTGTCCCCACCACCCCCACCCTGGGGGGCTGCCCCAGGGGACTGGAAGTGTGGTGGCTGTGGCTGCTGCTGCTGCTGCTGTGATGCCTGGGAGGCCTGGGCCTGGGCCTGGGCCTGGGCCTGGGCTTGGGCTTGAGCTTGGGCTTGAGCCTGAGCTTGGGCTTGAGCCTGGGCCTGGGCCACTGCTGCCGCCGCCGCCGCTGCCTGTACTTGTTGCTGGAGATCAGGAGGGTTGTGTTTGCGCATATGTTTCATAAGGTACGTTTCCTGAGGGAGATGACAAAAAGGAGTTGAGGGAGGAAAGAGAAGGAAAGAGGTTACTTATAACTAGCATCCTGGGCTCACTCTTTGCTTTAAATAAAACAATACTTTTACAGAAATATCCTGAAGCCATAGGCAGGTTCACCCCACATGCCACTTTCAGGGCTCACTCCTGGCTAGAAAGATGGGGGACCTTTAGAGTCACCATGGGCATTCGATTGGCACAGGGAAAGTTGTCATTTTCTCAAAGATCTTTGAATGGAACAACTTTGTAACTTTTTCCTGGAGTCTAATGGAAAACATCTAACTGAAATCTTTCTTCTCCCAAATTCTCAAGTTGCTTTATTTTGCCTTACATTCAAGTAAATGAAGAATCATTGTTTCGCAATCTCTATAGGATTAAGGGATCAGGCATCCCCTAAATTTCTCAGCTATGGGTCTATTTAGTTTCTGTTCTTCTTGATTCTGTAAATTGGAGCTAGGGAGGCAGCAGATTTGCTGCAACAGATCTTTATCTGGAAAGGGTGAAGTGGATTATAGTCTCACAGGCCTATGAAGAAAGAAAGAGAAGGCAGTGAGCACTCACCGACGTGTATGCCCGACTACAGATAGTGCAGGTGTACACCTTGGCATGCTTCACCGTATGCGTAGATAAGTGCACCTCTAGTGAGGCTGCATCTGTGTAAGCCCGATGACAGTTGTGGCACTTGAACGGTTTATCTTTGTTGTGCTGCCGTCTGTGGGACTGATAAAATTGGTAAAAATAAGGATGAGCGTATTGGACTTTCCCCTCCTGCCTCCCTGACCTTAATGGAAAGCCCGAAACAGGGTGTTCAGTCTCCTAGGTTCCCTTTCCATCTAAAGGCAGTAGAAACTGCTTCAAATGAAACTTCAGGAGCCATAGGCTAACGGAAGAAGCATACCTCATGCAGCACAGACCAGAATCCTGAAAGGGTTCAAAGTGAAACATGGGGATCACCAAGGAATACCAAGACTTTTCAAAGGGTCCACAAGGTCGAAACTATTCTCACACTAATAATATGACAATGTCTGCCTTTTTACTCTCATTCTCTCATGACTGTACAGAGATTAAATGATGCATAGTATTGCGACAGACTGAACACAGTGGACACGAGAATCTAGCCACCTTCTGGTAAGCTGTAAATTAAAGAAATGTGAAAAAAATGAAAACAATGCCATTCTTCTCACTACATTTTTTGGTGGGTATGTGTTTGGGAATATATGGTATGTGTTAACATGCAATAGGTTTGTTATTTTTTAAACAACAGTTCACAGCATCTACGTAGATAAATATTACCGACATCAACAAAAGCATTTTGAGTTCCCCGACAATTTTTTTAAAAGACTTTATTTATTTTTAGACAGAGGGGAAGGGAGGGAGAAAGAGAAGGAAAGAAACATCAATCGTGTGGTTGCCTCTCATGTGCCCCCTACTGGGGACTTGGGCCTCAACCCAGGCATGTGCCCTGACTGTGAATCGAATCAGCGACCCTTGGTTCGCAGGCTGACGCTCAATCCACGGAGCCGCACCACACAGGGCAAGTTCCCTGATAATTATTTAAAGTGTCAAGAGGTCCTGAAAAAGTTTGAAAACTGCTTTACTAGTCAAATGGCACTTTGACCCAAGTCTTAGATTCAAGGTCCCATATGGAAAAAGGAACATTTACCTGCAGATTAGAGAGCTGTGTGAAGGCTTTCTCACAGCCTGGGTGTGCACATTTGTATGGTCTATCACCGGTGTGGATTCTGCATGGGATGAGAAAACAAGAAAGGGAAAGGATGTCAGCAAGGCCACTTGGGGATTGGCTCCTAAACAAGCCTCCTCAAGGCCACTCCTGCCCTCCCACAGGAGTGGGAGTATGAGATGGATCTCCAGGACGCCTCAGCTCCTCTCTGACATGGATCAGGCTGTACTGCCTGACTTCTGCTCACTGCCTGCATCACTCAATTCAAGGTGGGCTCCTCCTGCTGGGGGAGGAGGGACTGGTAGCTCAGCAGCCCAGGGATAGGCAGGTCACAATTTGGTATACAAGTAAGCTCCTACAGTAATTGTCCCTGGTTATTGTTCAGAAACATAAGGTAAACACAACAGTACGGAAAAAGAAGAAACACATAAAACTTCTTCCCTGGCCCCCACTAACCAGCCAGAAATTATCCCCTCAGCCTCAAGCACCACTCCCAGAGAAAGTTCTGGTGTCAAAGAAAAGCAAAGAGTTATGCTAACTATGGAAAGTGGCAGTGATACGAATACTTGCAGAAACTTCTTCAGGCTTTTCCCAGTCCAGCCCCCTTAATAGCAGGAAATGGCTAGTTTAGTATCAATTTGACCTGTTTCCCAGACTCTATAGGGCCCTCCACTGAGATGAGCCAAGGACTTGAGGGTGCACAGACACCTGCTTCTCATCAGGGACTTCAGAACCATCTTTGAGACCAGGTGGTTTTCTGGACCTCTGGTATAAAATCTTGAAATCACAGGATATGTCCCCTTGTGAGGAAAGCCCGACTCCTCCTCTTCGCAAAGCACAACGTCTGACCACTTTAAGAAGATCACCACATCCAGAAGCAGCCAGGTCTCTAGTAAGAGTCTGGATTCCAGTTCAACTTGAGATACCACTGAAGGATGTCAATTCTTCTAGTTGGCTGAGTCACTTCCTCCTAGTCACTCCAGATTCATAGGACAAACAGTGGGCATCCGTATGGAGTATGAGCTTTTTCGTTGTTTGCTGGCTCTTTAAGATTTAGGACATGTTTGGTATTGTTTTCTACTCCTGGCATCCCTTGGAGCCTTGCTTGTTGCTGTAGGTGTTAGCAGGCTGGTATGCAGCTAAAGTCTCTATCTCCCCTTCGTAAGTGGTGCCCTAAGGGCCAGAGGTATCATCTTCAAAAGCCCTGGCTTTGGAATCAAGGAGAAAATCTTGAAAGATGTGTGCATGGGTGTTTTTAGGGAAGAAAATGAGGGAAAGAAGAGTTGTCTCTGCTCCAGATCAATCTCTTCCTCCCATGCATCTGGGAATATCACACAGTCATTGTATCTCCCCAATGTAGCTTCTGCCCCAGAAAGGCTCTCTCTGAGCATCCACTTTTGTCTCCATGTTGTCGCTTGTTCTTTTTCCCAGATGAAAGTTGTGCTCTCCTCCAGTCAGGTCTCTCCTCCAGCCAGGTTTCTCCCCCGCCCCCCGCATGCGGGTTGTTGTGTGTGTCCGGGGCGGGGGTGGGGAGGGCATGCCAGCGGGGCGGGGGCAGTAGCCTGCCACTCTCCCTTACCGTGTGTGCTGCTGGAGGTGGGAGAGCTGGCGGAAGGCCTTCTGGCAGTAGGAACAGTTGTAGGGCTTGGCCCCCGAGTGGATACGGAGGTGCTGAGCCAGGTAGGAGGTGTTGGCGAAGGTCTTGGAGCAGTGCGGGCACTTGTGGGGCTTGATGGTCTCCGTGTGCATCTTAGAGTGGATCCTGCCGGAGAGGAGAGGAGGGAAGGGGGGAGGAGGAAGCAGTTCGACACCACGGGCTCAGCTCTCTGCTGGGTGAAATGATGTTGCTTGACGGATGAGAACACCCCCTCCTCCCTCCTCCCAAATATACTCCGGCCTGGAGAGGCTAATGAAGAGGACACCAAGATCTAGGTTGTTGCGGATCTTAAGTCGGTGGCTAGAATGGCAGTGAGATGATGAAGAGCTGCAACCCCTGGCTCCTGGTAACCTTAAAGATTTGTTTCATCAACCCTCCATTTGGTTCTAAGGTTACACACTCACCACAGATACCCTGCTTCCAAACTGTAATTTGAACAAAGACCAATACCGCCTGTTCCCCATGGACCTGAAGTTGAATGCACACCTTGGCTCTGAACTGAAGCATATAGTAAAAGCAGGGCCTGCTCTGCAGAAGATTTCCAAACACAGACACAGAGAGAAACCACAAAAATTGTTCCAGACTTTGGGATTGAAGACCGCAATTTTCCAGGCCCCCCCCAAATTCCTAGGACACAGAGTTTAATTTTCACAGACAGTAATGGGAGAAATGAGGCTCCCAAAGGGCAAAGTTGGAAAGGAAACATGGAGAGAACGGCCAGGTAGTAGGGGAAAACCAAGAGCAGCCTTACCGGGTGTGCTGCTGGAGGTGCGAGAGCTGGCGGAAGGATTTCTCACAGAAGTTACAACTGTAGGGCTTAGCCCCTGAGTGGATACGGATGTGCTGGGCCAGGTAGGAGCTGTTGGCGAAGGTCTTGGAACAATGTGGGCACTTGTGGGGCTTGGTCTCGGTGTGTGACTTGGAGTGGATCTGCATCTCCGACTTTGAGTAGAATGTCAGTGAGCACATCCGGCACCTAGGCCAAGTGAGGGCAGCGGTTAAAACCCTTTCCATCAAGAGGGCATTTCTGAACCCTCCCCTCTACTTCCAAAGAAGCCAACCTCTCTAATCTCTTTCTTATTCCAACTACATTGTAAGGCCCATGAGAGAATGAGCTTTTTTTTTTATTTATTTTTATAGCCAAAGCTTCTAACACAGCCAGTACAATATAAATACTCAATATAAGTCTGCTAAATGATTGGACTCCCTAAGTGTATATAAAAACAAGAATTCAACCAGGTAAGACAGGAAAATCTTATTATAAGCTCTCGGCTAATGTGAATTTCACTGGGCAGGATTATCAGCTAACTTCTGTTTCCCTTCTGCCTGTAACTAAAATTTCAAACTTTTAAAGAACTCTTTCCACCAATCTCCCACATATAAGCACATCACCCAGGTATTCCTCAAGCTTCTGAAATGACAATGAGGACAAACTGACTAGATTACCCAGAAGGACTTCTCTCCTGTCTCCACATATAATTGCCTTCTCTCAGACTTTCTCCTACTTCCTTTTTGCCAGGGATTCCTAGAGGGATGGGGGTGGGGAAGTATTGGAATTACAGTTCCTTGGAGGGGCTTTTCCAAACCATGTTATATCTGGCCTCCCTCCTGTATCTGATGTTGCACCAGCCACCCCTACCTCCCAGGCAATTATGTGAGAACCATTTATGCAAATGAGACAATATGTCTTTTAAGAGTGGGTTGTATCCCTCGAATATTTAGTAGAAAAAAAGTTTGCAAGACACTGAGCGTCCATGCTAACACTTTCCTTTCCTCACACATGGAACCAATGTCAGCACTATGGGTTGACATGAAGAGCATCTGAATGCACTTTCACTCATCACCTGAGTTGGTAATCTTCCAATTCCAACACTGCCCAATGATATCAAGCTAAGAAGGCCCCTGAGCACAGCAAACCATAACTATTCGTGCTTTATTGAGTAAAAGCTAGCTAGAACCCTAGCATTCCTAAACAGGTCACTAGTGTACACTATGGGCTAGTAGAAAGGGCAATGGACTGTACTGATGCAGGCAGGTAACTGGGACATCTTCTTTGGGTCTCCCAACTTATCTTTGTTAAGAATTTTTAGAGAATAACTGAGTTTCCCAACTTATCCCTGTTAAAGAGGGGCTTGGGATTATGTGAGGGGTGATTTCTATTTGTTTCAGATCCCCGGAGAATTTTTAGAGAATAACTGAGTTCAAGATTACAAAGAACTCTGAGCTCCTCAGACAAAAGGAATCACTGTTAGCTGGGGTATAGTCCCTCTGTTAACACTTCTGTTAATTATAATCATTAGAGCCAATTTCTATTTCTCTAGTTACTTGATAACGGAAGGAAACCCAATCACCAGTTTACCAATTCCTGACTACTGTCTGGGATGCCCAACCACTGCATGGGAGGTGCGGAGGTTCTGCTTATAGGTAGCAGAGTCCGAAGGACACAGCCAATGTAAGACAGCCAGTGTGAAGTCTGGACACCTGGGCTCTACTCAGGGTTCAGTTGTAGGCTTACACATCAATCCAGACCTCAATTTTCTGGTCCATAAAACAGACAAATATCTGCCCCTAGAAAGGCCAGCAAATACCCAGGACAGTCTAAAATAAGCCAGTATTCTCTAATAATAAAACTGCATTAATTAATAGCACCAGCTCAGATGGATGCGCTAATGCTACTATATGTTTCACTAAGACTAAGGTTGGCCCTGGCTGGTGTGGCTCAGTTAATTGAGCACCAGCCTGCAAACCAAAGGGTTGCCAGTTCGATCCCCAGTCAGGGCACATGCCTGGGTTGCGGGCCAGGACCTCAGTGGGCGTGTGCAAGTGGCAACCACACATTAATGTTTCTCTCCTTCTCTTTCTCCCTCCCTTCCCCTCTGTCTAAAAATTAAAAAAAAAAAAAAAAAGGGAAAGACTAAGGTTAGAAACTGGACACGTTGGCCCAGGCCAGGTAGGTCAGTTGGAGTGTTGTACTTTACACCAAAATGTCACAGGTTCGATTCCCAGTCAATGCACAGAACTAACTAGGTTGCAGGTTGTTCCCTGGTCAGGGCATGTATGGGAGACAGCCCATCAGTACTTCACTCTGACATCGATGTTTCTCCCCCAGACCCCCAGCTCCCTTCCTCTTTCTAAAATAAATAAATACAGGGTCCGGGTCCAGCAGAAGTAATGCCTGCCTGAATGTGGTTGGTAGGCTAATAATATGAGTGTAATAATTTATCGTTTTGATTTGACTATTTCATCTAAAATGTTGTATGGTATGCTTGAGTGTGATATTGTTATGTTACAGAATTACATGCTTAGGATTTTGTAATAAAAAAGGGGGTGTTATTTGTGCTGGACCCTATATATCCTCCAGCAAGAATTTAAAAAGGAAGGAAGGAAGGAAGGAAGGAAGGAAGGAAGGAAGGAAGGAAGGAAGGAAGGAAGGAAGGAAGGAATTGGACACATTGTCACTTGGAGGGGAAGTCCACTAAAGCTACAAAATAATTTCCCTTGGTTGCTAAAATTTCTGGTAGATGGAACGACACATTCATTTTAACTCAAAATCTCATTTAGTTAGTGTATGAGTGTTGAATACACAATTGCAGCACCCTTAATATGAAATTAATTGTAAAAGAGGAAGTAACTCTCTTCATAAAAGTTTTTAACTGGAGAAGAATCCACAAAACTTAAGTTCGTTGATAATGCACTGGCAACAAAACCAGCAGTCTCAAAGGGTACTAGGTATAGCCCTGGCTGGTGTGGCTCAGTGGACTGAACGAAAGGGTTGCGTGTCTGACCCTGTCAGGGCACATGCCTGGGTTGTGGGCCACGTCCCCCAGTAGGGGGCGCGCGAGAGGCAACCACATACTGGTATTTCTCCCACTCCTTCTCCCTTCCTTCCCTTCTCTCTGAAAATAAATAAAATATTTTTCAAAAAAAAAAAAAAGGTACTAGGTATAATAATGATAATAAATTTTCCATCTGTCGTTGTGCCTGATACTGCCAGGGAACTTTAAACACATTGTTTCCACCCCTCACAACAACCTAGTAGATATTATCCCTGTTTTACAGAAAGGAACAGGAAGGCTCAGAAAGGTTAAGTAATTTGCCAAAGGACAAAAAACAGTTATTCAGTACAAAGCTATAATTCTAGCCTACGATTCCTCATACTAGAGGTATTCAAGGAGAGGCTGGACAGACATCTTTCAGGAATGTTTAGAGGACTAAAGCTATAGAGAAGAGACAGCTTAGGTGGCCATTAAAGTATTTCCAACTCTGAAATCCTATGAAGCCAAATAAAAGAGTGTGAGTCCTTTCATGCAAAGTGTTGTGTGGTTGAAAAGAAATCTGATTTAGGAGAGTTGTGGCAGTGGGCAGTTAATGGGGGATAGAAAAACCAGTACCCCTTATCACTGGGTACACAACTCCAGGGGGCGCCATTCACATCCAACATGAGAACAGTGCTCCTTTGGAAGCATGCAATGCAGTGACCTTGCTTACAATAACCATTAAGAATTATCATCCCATTTTTTTTCTTAAGATGCTCAAAACCAATTTCAAATACCCTGATTTTCCCATCAAAACATTTCTGCAAGACCGATGAGGGCCACGATTGATCTCCCTATTTTACAGATGGAAACAAAGAGTCAGAAATAAGTTGACTTGCTCAGAGCAACAGAACCCAATTCCCCCAACACACAGTCAAATGCCACTGGCTACAGGAATGGATGTGGTTGACCCACACGTGCATTGAAGGACAGATGCTTTGTGATTAAACAGATTCCATTAGAACGTCAGAGTTCTGAGTTTCTGAATAAATTCCATTCACTGAGAATGGAATTAGTCCCCCTTAAATTTTAGAGTTCTCTTTAGTCACCTAGGGGTGGGGCCTATGAAGAATTCCAAAAACACTGAGGTTGTGGAAAATCCCATCAGAGCTTCCTTCTAATTGTATATTCACATTGCTTTCCATATTCACAGGTTGGAAAGTCCACAGAGAGTTTTAACGTGGTACAAAAAACTAACAAACAAGAAAACTCCGGCACAACGAGAGGACCCTGATCCATGCGAAGGGCCCCAGGGGGTGTCAGAAAACCCTCCCACTACTCCTGCCACAAGTTCTGTATAGGTGTTATCTCCCAGTCGCAATGACCTCACTTTAAGCAAATACAAAAAAATCCAGATTCTATTTTGAAGAGGGATTTTCATTTTATGAAATAATATATAAAAGAATGCCTTTAAATGAATCGAACTTGTCAGGTACCTTTACAGTATGATTTGATGTAAACATTCTCCCAGAACACTTTTATTATATAAAGTGGGGTACACCTGTAATAATAAAGTTGCAATGAACTTTCAGACTATAAAATGAATTCTGCAGTGCTCAACGCTTTCTGGGTTTAGCAACACTGCCCTCATTTTCACTTACAAAGAGGGATTTAAATGCTCTGCAGTCATAGCTGCTCTCTACAGAAGTGTACAACACAAACAGTAAATGCAAACTGATGACTACTTTTTATCTCTTTTGAAGTTCCCAACATTTTAAATCTAATCTGATATATACCCCCACAAATGGGAGGCAGAAACAGAATTCTCCCCATTTTATAGATGAGGAAACTGAGGCCCAGAGAGGGGAAAAGGACTTGCCCAGGGTCACACAGCAAGTTCGTGGTGGAGCCGGGAACTGAATCCATGAGCCCAAGGCTCTGTCCATTTCCTGTGCCGCAGTTCCCTTCGCTCCTAAAATGGGAACAACATTGCCCATCTCGGTACACTAAGGACAGACCCAATCTCCCAGCCATGCATTATCTGCCCCTGTCTGTGTCCAAGCTATGACAGTAGTTATCCCACTCTGTATTATGGGACCAAACTCCCCAAACCCACTAGGGCCCTTGATAGTTCTCAAGGGAATTAAAAGATTTCCAATGTTCAAAGGGCAGGAAAGTTTCCTTCTGTAATTATTTTTGTACAGTACCACATGCAAATATAATGCTTTTTGGCAATGGACAACTTAAGGAGTATAAAGGATCAAAATGACTTCCATGAATTAGAAAGTGAGCAAACAGTCATTTTATAAGCATACATTCCAAGGGGGATAAGGGAGGTATAGTCCTCCCACCTTTTTATAAAGACCCCTCCCATTATCCAACCATGCAGGGTCAGGCAGGCTCAATGCTCAAATATGGCCCAAGAACCAGTGGATAGCACAATGGTGAGGGGCTTATCAGAAAGCACTTAAATCTTGGAAAAGCACTTATTTCTTGGAAAAATAGGAATGGAAAATGCAGAAAGCAAAAAGGAGCTGGAGACAGAGTCTCAAACCCAGTCTAAAGCCTCATTATAAGAAAGAATTCCATTATGCCACTTAAAAATAAATCAATGCTGATGACCCCAAAAAGGAAGGGGTGAACGGGTCTGCATCCTGGAGGAAGAGGTACCAGCGAAGTGCTGGAAGCTCTACCTTCCTGCCCCATGAGAGAACACCTGACATGCACGTGGATCTGAGGTGGAAAGCTGGCAGAGCACACAGCCTGATTATCAGGGGCAAGACAAAGAGAGGGTAGGGAAGTGGAGACAGGGATCCTCACCCCATCCTGCCCCAGGATGATTCATACCTATAGGTCTTGCCGTCTTTCTGATGTTCATCATCATCCTCAGGGGAGAGGACATAAGGATCACTCATCTCAGGCAGCCCTGATTCCAACATCCGCTTCTTCTTTCGGCCCCGGGGGGGCTTAGGAGCCACATTGCCGCCTCCACCACCACCTCCGCCTCCTTCCTCGGTTAGGGTTGATGATACCTTCTTGGAGAGGTCAGGGACCACCTGCAGGGCTTGTGAGCCAGGGGGAAGAGCTGAGACAATCATGGGAGCCGAAATGGGGAAGGTCTGAGCTGATGAGGCTGTGGTCACAAGGGAGCCTGAGGGGGACGTGATTACCAAACCAGGACCTAGGATTGGAAGAAAAAGGAGATGGTGTCATGTTGTCCCATCCTGATCCTAATCCTATTTAATTTCCCCCAGATCATTGTCTAATTAACCCCTTACCACCACCACCCCAGCCCAGAATATATAGGATACCCCAAACCCTGTAGAAAAAAAAAATGGTCTCCTAACCCCTGTCCCCACCCCAACCCCGGTAACAGTGAGATTTACCCCTTGATTGACTCCCTTCTCTTCTCCACCTCTGAGAACAGGAGACTCCTTGATTCAGAGAAGGAAAGAATGTCACCTCCTCAAAGGCAGGGACCGCATCTTCTACTTCTTTGTATCCCCCACAATGCCTAGCGCATTGCTAGGCACACAGTAGGCACTTAATAAAAATTTGATTGAGTAATCAAACACATTTCCCACTCCCCATGTTGTTGGAGCCCTCCAGCCTGGGGTACTGATCATGGAAGATCAACACCTCAGATTGGAGAAGAGCAGAGTTGCTCACCAGCAGTCATTAGTCCTGTAGACGCCACAGGGACCACCGTGATATTCTGGGTGACGGACGCCTGGCTATGTGGGGTCAGCTGGTCTGACTTGGACTCTGTGTCCATACTGATGCCTGAGGGCAGGGACACTGAGGCAGGCACTGTCAGCAAGGTGGGGTAGTGGGGTGGAGCCAGCCCACAGCCCTTCTCTGGCAACAGCTGATCCTTCATCTTGTTGATGAACATCGTGTTTTCAATCTGAAAGAAATGGAAGGGGCAGAGAACAAACTGATGGTCACCAGATGGGAAGGGGTGGGGGATGAGCAAAAAAGGTGAAAGGCACTAAAATGTACAAAATTCCAGTTACAAAAATAGTTATAGGAATGTAAAGTACAGCATAGTCAATAATATCATAACTATGTATGATGCCAGACAGATATGAGACCCACTGTGGTGATCACTTCTTAAGGTATATAAATGTCTAATCACAAGATGTACACCTGAAACTAATATATGCCAACTGCAATTAAAAAAATAAATAATTAAAAGAAGGGGGAAGGTGAGAATTGCCTCTTCAGGGAGTCTACTTTTGTCCCTGAGCACTTAGCATTCATTGTCTGCCCTCCTCCTTGGTTATCAAGGAGAGAGTAGTTTATATCTTTGTGCTTCAAGAGAGAAGCTAAACAGAAACACTATATAATTCTGAGTGATGGGGGACCTGGTGAAAAAACATGTGGTTTGTCTTGCATCAGTCTTCACAATAGTAGAACTTACTACTCAGAGTGGAAAAAAAATATACCATAGCGGAGGGGCAAAAAGGCAAACCCCACCTACCTGTCCTGAGACTGTGGGGATAGAAGGCCAGAAGTACGGGTTAGAATTGAAGTGAGATTCTTCCATTCTACCTGGAAAGAGAGAGAGAGAGAGAGAGAGAGAGAGACCACATCACACTCAGGAATAAATATGGACCTTAGCAATGGAGAAGGGAAGTCAAGGAGCTCCTGAATTCTTCTTTGACCACATGGCTGGGAATCAGCAGTCAAGACATTAGGATCTAGCATACTAGTCCCATAGTTCAGAGCCACTCAGCATTATATCTCCATCAGACAGAGGTAATCCTAGTTAAGAGCCTAGTGAAAGAACTTATATACCTCTTATTTACCCACAGAATGTTTTCCATACCCTAAGAAACAGAATTGGCATTACTTTCCTTTGCAGACAGAAAAAGAAACTAAAGTCACAAGATGGGAATAGATATGCCCAAAGTCCTACGAAACACACTACTTCAAACAGCAGGGTACCTATCACTGGTCCTCTTTTCCTTTATTCCTCAAATCCTTATTCCATGAAATAAAAAATCCCGAGTTCTAATTGATACATCTATAGTTCTTTGCAGCTTGGACACAAAATGTCCAAGGATATTAAAGAATGAAACTGGCAAGAATCAAAATCAAAGTGTTTTTTTTTTTTTAAAGATTTAATTTATTTATTTTCAGAGAGGGGAAGAGAGGGAGAAAGAGAGGGAAAGAAACATTAATGCTCAATAGAAACATCACCTGGTTGCCTACAGCACATCCCCAACTGGGGACCTGTCCCACAACCCAGGCATATGCCCAGACCAGGAATCAAACCAGCAACCTTTTGGTTTGCAGGAGGGTGCCCAACCCACAGAGCCACACCAGTCAGGGCAAAATCAAGGTATTTTCTAGGTACCATATGATACCTGGGGACCACACCCCACTGATCCCAAGGTCAAAGAACATCTATGGTGCTACACTGGATACCACACATGCTGGGCTGAGCAGTGAGAACTTAGGAGTTAGCAGTTTTAAAAAAGAATTCTAGCACCAGCAGAAGCAGCAGCACTCCAGACTTCTACCTAAAGGGATTCAGAATAGGGACAACAGTGGGCCAGAACTCATCCACATTACTAGACTCCTTCTTTTTAGTCCTCAAACACCAGGCTTCTGAGAGTTTGAACTTGAGAACTTGAGTTCTTCTCTGTACACAGAGGACAGTTAAGCTTAAAACTTTGGGAGTGAATAAGCAAGAAAAGTAATCCCTCAGAATCACACTGCTAGTCACAAATGAGTACAGAACGGAGGCATCTCACCACTCACTCATTTTTACATTCTGATTACTTCTGGAAAGCCTTAACTGGCAGTATGTTGGTCAAGGGTAGCTTCCCAAAATCCTGGACCAGGAAAGATCCAGCCTAGCAGAAAACAGGTAAAGAGGAAGTATGGGACTGGTGGAATGGGGAAAAGAGGAACAGCAGGAAATAAACGTGGTCACCACGTTGTCACTCTCAGCCAAGAGCAATCAAGATTCAGGTGGGGAAGAAGGACCTGTGACCTCTAGCCACGGTCCCGCTGAGGATATGCTGGCAGCAGATATAAGAGATACTAAGAGCTGGAGGGTAGACTGAGCACAGAAACTTGATTTCAAGTACCGACTAAGGAAACTAGAAAAGATCTTCAACAAAAGAGTTCAAGCAGAAAGAATATCTCTCTAAACATAACCCTGTCCCTTATCTTTCTCTAGAAGTCTCATCACATTTTTTTTGTTCTATTAAACGGCACCCTCAATTTTCATAAATCCTATAAAGGGAAGTAGAACTGAATTTCAGCCTACTTCTTCCTAAAAAGTAGCTAAGGAGGCAATAAACCAAATCTGTGACTAGAGCAGCTTCACACAAATGAGGCTCAGTATTACATGAATAAGGATCAACTGCAGATAAATCCTGCTCCCTGAGTTATAAACTACAGTAAAACCAGATAGTCCCCAAAACAGGTGCTAACCTTTTCCTCCCAGCATTAGTGGCCTCAGGTCCTCCTCAGGCAAGAGAAATCAAGAAACAATCAGACTAAGGTTTACGGGGACCCAATCTTGCCAAGCTTTTCGGGAGGCAGGGATCACACCTTGGACCTATCCACAGTCTGTAACCCAGGACTTATCACCCAATAAGCAACTTCATACAGAATCAACTGAATGACAGTGGACTCCACACACAGATTTTGAAAACACTGCAAAGGGTTCAAACCTTAACACACGACCGACCCCACTTTGTCCAACCTTCTAGCTGAGAAAAATGAAACAGGCAAGAGTGGTGACATATGATAGAAATGTAGTAGAAAAATAGACTGGAGAGTCTAGTAGGTAACACCCCCTAAAGAGTAAAGGAAGTAAATGCATTATGGATGTGAAAATTTAGGAGGAACGGAGAGCCTGGAAATAACAGTGTCCTCAGGTAAGATTTCTGTGAGCAGGCCCCTCCCTCCCCCCAAAAGATTGTTGTCCTTTTCTATAAGAAAAGATCTATTCTTATTGTCCAACTGCCTCAGATGAATCAGTTTCTGTAGGTTCCTGTAAAGGGGGCACACAAAGCGATGTGGTGAACAGTATCACTATCACCATCACCACTAACATCTTTAAGTGCTTATTGTGTTCAAGGTACTGTTCTAAGCACTTCATGACTATCCCATCATTTAATACCCACAACATTGTTATGAAGTATGGTACTGTAATTCCATTTTTTAAATGGGGAGATTGAAGGCAAACAGTAAACAGCAGAGCAAGGTAAAGAAGGGATTCTACAAGAGAGCAAAACCATGTACCTGAAGAACAGACTCTCCGACGTTGTGGCTTGATTCATGATATGAAATTTAGAATATCTCCAGGAATGAACTATACATTTTTCAGGTAGCTCTCACTAATGTTTCCAAAAATGAAGTTCTGAAGACAGCATTTAAAGATAATATTCCCTGTCCATATCCTGTGAAACCTCACTTGGCCACCAAGATAACTGATTTTAGAATCATGGAGTCTTGAGTAAAAAGGCTGGACTATCCAGAGGAGATAAACTGTATAAGAGGCCCCTCCACTTCCACGGACAACCAGTCTACTACTCTGCTGTGGTTCATAGGAGAACAAAGCTGAAGATCAGAACTATAGCTGGTCCTAAGACAAAATGATAAATGTGCTTTGCGGGCTTCTGATAAATATGTCCGACCAAAATGGGGGTACATGGAGACTACTGCTCAGCCAACTAGAAGCAATGTTTGCCTGCAAAATGACACCTGAGAAATGCTATACCACTGTGGAGAGTCAAGAAGGAAGGCTCTTGCCAGAAATAAAGGCAAATGGCACCCCCAGAGTGGCGTAACAGGGTGCCATTGCGGGGAGATCACTCAAATGCCTGTTTACTGTCCATTTTACCACTCATCCTCTTCACTCTTTCATGGAGGAATTCTCACCAAACCATCCTGATATCCAAGCAGGCATGTATCAACATTACGAAACCTGGAGAAGCCAAATGATATTATGGGGAAATCTCATCTGTACACACAGTGCCAGTTTTGATGATTATGCTAATATATTAAAAAAGCAGTGGTCCACCCTAGAGTAAGAAGGTTTCTATTAGAGTCCCAAAGAACAGGAAAGAAGGAAAAACACAGTAAGCAGAAAGAAGCATATTGGCGATTGAAAATCTGGGTTCTAAAAAATCAACCTTACCACTGCACTGTGCCTCAACTGTTAAAAAGAAGGGAGGTTTACAGGAGTTAAATTGGGCAGCAATTTCTTTCAAGAGGTTTCAGGAACTATGTATTTATTTCTTTTTTTTTTTTTTTTAATCCTTACTGAAGGACATTTTTTTCCCATTGCTTTTGGAAGGGGGAGAGAGACACTGATTGGTTGCTTTCTCATAAGCACCCCGACCAGGGACCAAACCCACAATCTGGGTATGTGCCCTGATCAGGAATCGAACCCGTGACCTTTTGGTCTACGGGACAATGCTGCAACAACTGAGCCACACCGGCCAAAGCTTTATTTCTTTTTTCAATCTCCAAAGAAATCTTGGAAGCACTGAGGAGGAAAAGAATAAAGACAGTATTACATAGCATCCATAAACACATAGTAGGACTTGAACTCTTGCACTAGAGCTCTGTCCATCTGTCCATCTTTCCACAGTGCTACCAGCCATCAAGGAATAATGATGTCACTGCCTCCAGTAAGTGGTTTTTGTATACATGATGAAGACCCCCACCTTTCTCTTGGTACTTACTACAATTTTCTGTTGTTTTTAGAATGAAGCATAAATTTTTCTCAGGAAAATAACATTCTCTTAACACAGCCAAGCTTTAGAAAATCATGAAATACACCAACCACATTAGGTAGCTAGAGAATGGACCTAGGAATCAAGATTTCTGGAATCTATTTTTAGCTCCTGCATCAGTGAGTAACTTACAACTCTACTGTTTTTATTTGAGTAAAGGATGGAGCAAAATAAACCCCTTAAAACAAATTCATAAGGCATGTGGTGATGGGATGTAGGCAGCACAAAACAGAAAAAGAATAAAATGCTCAAAGCACTCCTGAAAGAAACAAAAAGAAATACTTCCATGTGATGAGGACTATTAGTGACAATTAGTGAAAATTACATAAAGACCACATAATTACAAAGGAACTACCCCAAAGTATCAGTTCTATAGCCTCTAGCTTAGTAATCACCAACTAGAAGCACTTACAAGAAATAGAGATGCAAAGAACAATCAACTCAAATTCAACTACAGAAAGAACTTGACCCATGGATCTCAGACATTCTATTGAGCAAAACTGTTGCAAAATGCACAATTACAGACAGGTTGCAATATTAGTTAAGGATTTGAGGTTAAAAAAAAAAAAAAGAAAACACACAGAGGTCCATTTTTTACTCAGTAAGAAAAAAAAGTTTTTTTCTCAGTTACTAAGGACATTCAAGAAGATCCGTCCCAATAGAATTTAGGGCTTTCCTACTATCTGTAAACTCTTCAGAGTACAAATTAACTCAGAACAGGTTCGCCCCAATTTTACTGGAAAAGACCATCACACCACACCTGTTTGAGACCAACAGGACCACTACCACCACACAGATGGAAATTTGGACCATCACCTTCTACCCTGGGCACCACTGGACCATTATACCTTGCATTCTGTGGGAAGAACACAGTGGTTCCCCTTGCCCTGCCCATTCCACTATAAATAATGGATCTAGGCAATGTGGGCGGGGGGGGGGGTGGAAAAGGGTGGAGAAAAGGGTTTATGCACCCAATACGTGATCATCAACTTGGCTCAGAAACCTATAGAGAATACATTTTATACACCAGCCTAGAATCAGTTCCTAGAAGACACCTCTAGGATTATAAACTCTGAACTCACAACTTTTTTGGATCAGTACACTGTCGTTTTCAGGCTACCTAAAACTCTATCACCATCAAGTCTCATATTTTTAATTCTTCCAGACCTTCTTATGGAGTCTATTCCATACAGTTTCATCCACTTTACTTCAAACTACCTATGACCCAGTTTTTTTCCTGAAAACTTCACTCTGCCACAGCAAATTCAGATAATTGTGTCATAGATTCAACACTCAACAGATCCATTCCAAACACTAAGCTGCAATATTAAGGACACACATCCTGCTCTAAACTCAACTGTGCTAGTTCCAAATACAGGAAAGCAATTCCATAAGCTATGCCACAAGGAATATACTAGCAATTAGGGCCCACTTGTCCCCAAAGTAGAAATAAGTTTCTCCTTTGCACACAATGCAACACAACTTTGTGACTTCACTTGCACATTTTTTAATTCATTCCTGATGAGTACTTGTGGGAATGGAAGGTGATGGGGTACAACAGAGCCAACTTTTTACACAAAAACTTTCTGGGCACCCCAAAGAGATAGTAGGAAAAGGCTGATTTTTCTTGCACAACAAACACCAGTATTACAATTGCTATTACTTGAAGAATTCTGTCACACTGTTTCCCCCAAAATCCTATTTTATTATGACCCTTTCTCCCCCCAAACAAGAAAAACCATTAACCCAAAATTGTCTTACCCTCTCTCTCTCTTCCTCCTGTCGTTTTATTCTTTCTCCTTTCCAGGGCTCCTGAACTTTCTGTAAACAAATTGTCTGGGTTACAGGGGCCAGTAAGGATGCAGACACCAGAGAACTGTGGAGGAATCCTCTAACTGTCAGCAGTCAGTCAGGAAGGCTGGTGGAGCCTCAACCAACAATCCAAAGGTGCAGGGTTATAGTTAACAGGAGTGCAGTGCCACCCCTATGCAGCTACAAAGGAAATAAATCTAAGTCCCAGAAACTAAGAAGAACTCTATCACCAGTGTGTGGGTTCTACTCCTGGCCTGAGACACTGATTCCTCTTCTTTCCCCAGGGTCACAGATAACCAGGGGTCAGAGAACAGAAGCGTTGGAAGAGAAGGGTCCCTGCCCCAGAGAGCAAAACTGAGGACTAGGGGGATGCACAAACCCTTGTGTCAGGCACAGGGCCAGTTCAGGCCCAGCCACTTCCTCTGGTCTCCCCTCCCCACTTCTGGGAGGACTTCGCCCCTTCCTACCCAAGGCCTTGCGCCAAGAAGTACCTCTCTCAGCCTGCACAGTGGTCTATATATTGGAGACCCCAGCTGTCCCCCCAAAACGTTTGCTCCCTTGAGACAGCCCCTGGGAGCCTTCTCCTGATGTCACCCCCCCACCCCTTCCTCAAAGACCCTTCCTTGGGACGTCCCTCCTTCTCCACCAGGGAGCTGAACTCTGCCACCCACCAAAGAGACACCCGCCCCCTAAGCCCCCCCATTCCTCCCCATCGCCCGCTCCTCCACAACCACTTCCGGTTCCGGGACAGACACACGTACAGTCACACCGTGGAGCACCCCCTTCCCCGCCCCCCCCCAGGGAAAAGGGGAGGGGGGAGGAGCAGAGAGCTTGGCGCGCGCCGGCTGCAGCGGCGCGAGACTCACCCAGCGGCGACGGCTGCGGCGGCGCCAGAGCCAGAGCGCGGGAGGGGCGGCGTTGGCTGGGAGAGGAGGGAGCCGGTAGGGGTGGGAGGACCACAGGGGCCGAGGGGAGGGGGAGCGCACGGCGGAGCGCGCGAGCACGCACTTTAGGCGCGAGACAGACCACACTCTCACACGCACAGAATGCGTGCGAGACACCCGCAGGGCGGGGGCTCCAAGCAGTGGGTGGCCCCCTTTCTACCGCCCTCCCTTCCCTAACACTCACCCGGAAGTGGTGCTGCCGCTCGTGCTCCCAAGAACCCCAATTCCTCCACGCCCCCTCCCTCCCTCCCTCCCCCCCACACGCTCCAAGTTAATCCGCCGCGGAGAGAAGGCGGGAGCGCCGGAAACGAAAAAAGGGGGGAGGGAGGGAAATAGCAACGTAGGGGGGGCAGTAGTGGGGAAGGGGGGGGAAATGCAAAGGTCGAGTCACTTCCGGAAGCGGTAGAGCACATCCGGCGCCCCTTAGCGCCAGGGATATTTAGGCCGCAAGTTACGCCGAGGAGGGGCGGAAGTGGCTTCTGCCCAGGGACCCGGTAGAACCCTCTGTGGATGTGACGCCGCAACGGAAGTGAAGGCGGGCTCTGCTAAGGGCAGAAGCTGATATTCAGAACTGCGGGCCCCCGGCTTCCGGAAGCGACTTCTGGGGAAGTGGGAGGGTGGAATCCCGACAGGTTCATGAATTATGCATCAAGGTACCAGCGGAGGTATGGATTTTAAAAGACTAGAGTCCCGTTTCCTTTCCCTCGGTCAGGGAATAAGCTGATGTAGAAAGTTACCGTGTTTTTTTTCTCATACTGTTCTACTCTCAAGAATTTCTCAATGCTTTGAACATGCGGGTAAGGACAGGATGTGTCAGTTTTCTGAGGTTCCTACTTAGGCCCAAAGAGTAACTTAATACCATCTCCCCGCCATCAAAATCGGACCCCTCCCTGACCACACCCTTACTCTCTTTGGTCTCTACTGTGTTCTTGTTGCCCTCGTCCGCATCTCTGTCTTCTCACTCTTTCCTTTAAATATGACACTTAACCACTACCTGACACTATATTGTTTTCATCTCATCCCACTAGAACATCGGCTTCTTGAGGGCAAGGACTTTGAATTGTGTATCTGCCCTCAGAGCTGGGATTTAGTTAGTGGTCAGTAAATGTTAATGAACACTTAACATGAACTTTTTCAGGAAACCTTCCCTGATTGTCCCAGCCCATTAAGGGCCTCTTTCTCTGAATTCCCACAGCATAGTCTGTGCCTTTTGTTGCTATTTTAACTATTTCATATATGTGACTCCTCAGCAAGCTTGTCAGCTCTTCAGGAAAGAAACTGTCTCATACATAGTATCCTTCCCACTGTTTTGCTTAACACATAGTAGATGCTAAATAACTATACAGCAGTCCCCCTTATCCAAAGGTTCACTTTCCCCTGTTTCTGTTCCCCTTGTCAACCATGGTCGAAAAATATTAAATGGAAAATTCCAGAAATAAACAATTCATAATTTTTAAATTATGTGCCATTCTTGACAGCATGATGAAATCTCCAGCCATCCGGCTGAGGGCTGAGTCTGGGACATGACTCATCCCTTTGTCCAGTGTCTCCAAGATGTAGACTGTCCCTGCCCAATACTTAGTAGCCATCTCAGTTACCAGACTGACTGTGGAGGTATTGTAGTGTTTGTGTTCAAGTAACCCTTAGTTTACTTAATAATGGCCTGAACGCACAACAGTATTGATGCTGGCAACTCAGATATGGCAATTCAAAAACCAGGAAGTGCTTCCTTTAAGTAAAAAGGTATGCATGTATAGGAAAAAACATAGTATATATAGGGTTCAGTACTATCTGAGATTTTAGACATCCCTTGGGGGTTCTTAGAACTTATCCCCAGCAGATAAGGAGAGACTACTGTGTGTTATTTGAGTAAATGAATGCTGTCACTCCCTGCACCCTGATATGGCCAGAACAGCTCTGTTTTGGCTGAGGCTGAATTGAAGCCCTTCCTACTGACAGTAACAGACCCATGATTAGAGAGCACAATAAGCCTAATAGAGATAACTATAATGCTCATTTTACAATTATGAAAATAAGACTGAAGATTTAAGTGATTTTTTTCCAAGGCCACAGCAAGGAAGTAGCAAAGAACACCTAAAAATAAGCATTTAAAGTAAGTATCTAAGAAGATATGTCTTTGGCTTGTAATTGTTCGTATCTTTTTTTTTAAATCATCACCCTAAAATACATTTATTGACATTAGAGAGAGGGAAGAAGGGAGAGAGAGAAACATCCATGGAAGAGAGAAACATGATTGGCTGCCTCCTGATTGAATCCAAAACCTAGGTATGTGCCCCGACTGGGGATTGAACCCACAAACTTTTTGTGTTCAGGACTGATGCTGCAATCAACGGAGCCACCCTCTCCCCATCCACAGCTTCTTTGTATCTTTTTAAGTATGTACTCTTTTTATCATACTTTTGGGCTCTGCACTTTGTCTGTGTTAACCCAGTAGCAACAGCAGGCATGATAAAGGTCTTAAGGGCCCAGATGTGACCAGAACCAGTATCTGCAGGAGTTGAAGAACCATGATTCAAGAAACCTTGACTTTGGCCCTGGCTGGTGTGGCTCAGTGGATTGAGCACCAGCCTGTGAAACAAAGGGCTGCCGGTTTGATTCCCAGTCAGGGCACGTGCCTGGGTTGCAGGCCAGGTCCCTGGTTGGGGGGTGCACGAGAGGCAACCACACACTGATGTTTCTCTCCCTTTCTTTGTCCCTCCCTCCTTCTCTCTCTAAAAATAAGTAAATAAAATTTAAAAAATTAATGGGGGCTGAGGTAGAAAGGTGGGAGCAAAAGGGTAGTCATCACTGTAAGTCCTGGTTCTCCTCCAGCTCATTTCCTCCTTACAGTAACAGGCACTTCCTGGGCCTCAGTGTCTTCAACTGTAAGTCCTGCTCCTGCCCTTGCCATAAGAAGCAAGTTTTAAGTTCCTTGAACTCCTTAGAGAGTAGCTTTAGAGAGAGAAATGTGAGGTGTAGGGGGAAGAGGGCTGTTAATTTTAGCCTGGGGCTTTCCAGCTGGCACACTGTTACCGCCTTGAATCGCTTCCCCACCCAGAGCCCTGCCCAGGAGATCCCTCCTCCCGGGGGCTTCCCCATTCCCTGGTTTGGTCTCTGCCACAATGGTAAGCATTCCAGGAAAACATGTAGAGAAGCCTGGCTGAGTCATTTGATACACAACTCTGGAGGTGAAGGAAGTACAATACATAGGAGAGACGCTGGTCTCAGTAGTGTCTGTGATGTGTGGCCTCCAAAAACCAGGGGAGCACTATGGCCATTTTTTATGTTCCGGTCTGTCCCTTGGCAGTGAATCTCTGCTCTACCACTTCCTTGAAGCTTTCTGAGGACCTGCAAGGCCCCAGTTTCAGTTTCAGCTCCAAGAGAGAGAAAGGTTTGGATCCATTCCCTGTGGCTTCAAGATGCTTCCCCATTAGTGTGACTATGTGATTTAGTTTGGGGTAATTCCTTTCGGAAAACTCAGAAGACTAGGGTTTCTTCTTTCTCCTCCCTCTCCCCAATCTGACTTTCTACGGGGAAGAGGACATTTAGGGAGAGGGAACAGGTGAGGATTTCCAGTGTCTTGCTGGTGTATTTTAATCTATTTAAATTTAGAGAAACAGCAGTCTAATCAGGCAATAATTAATTCCCTCTTCATTAGGGGCCTTCATGTGTGCCTTTTGCATATGGATGAGCTGCAGGGTCACACGGTCCCTCTGCAGACAGTTGCTGAAGGTGATAGAGCCAGGGTGTGCTCCCCAGGCACTTGAGCTCCTTACCCCTTCCCTCCCCTGCCCAGGACAAGGACTAGATTCCTGTGGGCAAAGAAGGGAAAGGTTAATGAAGCTTCTCCTACCTCCCTGAATCCCTCCCTCACTACCCCCCCAGCACCTCTTCCTGTACCCTCAGGTTCCATCCAACCCTCCAGTCCCCCAGTGGCCCGCTGGGATCCCTTAGGCCCCCCTGGGTTGCCTTTGAGCCCTCCTCAGCAACGCGTTTGCCTTGTACCTCTGCTTTTAGTTGGTTCATCGCTCCCTAGCCCCACACTGCTGCTTTCCTTTGTAGCAGTCTGTCTTTTTCCTAGAGAGTCTGATGCCCCGAATGTATACACTGCTCTGGTCCTGAGAAATATGCCACCTTCTCCCCCCTCACCTTTGTGCGCTGCATAGACTCAGCCATACTTCCCTGAGGACACAGTCAAGCTCTCCAACACCTAAAAATACGCATCTACCAACCCATGTGCATTCCTAATTTGAGCTGCAAAGATAAACACCGGGAGGAGTACACAGCCCAGGGCAGCCCAGACTGCCTTTTCACACATTCCAGTCTCCTCTCTTCCCTGGAGCTCCCCATTTCCAGGGAGCAAGTGGGGCACAGATGGGGGTGGGGGGAGAAATGGGACCTGGGTGGTTACCATGGCAACATAGCCTAGCAACAGCTGAGAGGCTGATGTGTTTGTGGGCTTTTGCAGGGCTGTTACAAGAGCCAAACCTGGAATTGACGGCTCAGAGGTGACTGATCCCA